CTGACCCGCTCCCATCCTATTAATCTCCCTCCTCTGTCTCTTGCGCTCGCTTGTAATTAATTCCCCATCTTCCCTGCTTCTATTCTGTTCCCTCTTATCCAGACTGTGCTTACCAGCCCCCTCCTGGCTGCTTTCCTAATGCCAGGATTCCTCTCCTCCCCCTTGCCCTCCCCCCTTAATATCCTCACCCTCCTGCCCCCTTCACCTCTGCACCCGCTTGACTTGGCCCCATGCGCTCAACCTGCCTAGCTCCGGCATGGCCTCTCCACTCCAACTCTGACCCTTAAAGCGCCAGGAACAGGTTTTCCCAGCCAAAGAAACTGCTGTTAGGATGTACCGGGAATAATCCCACTGCATCAGGCCCAACGGGGGGCCCCCACGTGCGAGGCAACGGGGGGCCCCCACGTGCGAGGCAACGGGGGGCCCCCACGTGCGAGGCAACGGGGGGCCCCCACGTGCGAGGCAACGGGGGGCCCCCACGTGCGAGGCAACGGGGGGCCCCCACGTGCGAGGCAACGGGGGGCCCCCACGTGCGAGGCAACGGGGGGCCCCCACGTGCGAGGCAACGGGGGGCCCCCACGTGCGAGGCAACGGGGGGCCCCCACGTGCGAGGCAACGGGGGGCCCCCACGTGCGAGGCAACGGGGGGCCCCCACGTGCGAGGCAACGGGGGGCCCCCACGTGCGAGGCAACGGGGGGCCCCCACGTGCGAGGCAACGGGGGGCCCCCACGTGCGAGGCAACGGGGGGCCCCCACGTGCGAGGCAACGGGGGGCCCCCACGTGCGAGGCAACGGGGGGCCCCCACGTGCGAGGCAACGGGGGGCCCCCACGTGCGAGGCAACGGGGGGCCCCCACGTGCGAGGGGGCCGCTGCACTGTCTCAAGTTGGTGAGCGAGGCGCCGTCTTTCTCCTGCACGGATGGGCAGCAGCCTTCCTCCGGCCTGGGAGCATTGACACAGATAGGGTGACGAAATGGCCGGTCTCTCTTTCGACACGCCGTGCGTCGCCTGCTGCTTCTTGCTCTGCTGTGTCATCCTTGCGGCCCTCCTGGAACGGCTGCTGCCGGGCTCATGCCAAAAGCCATGGCAGAGCAGCGGACCCCCCGGGGGAAATCTGTCGGGCTCAATTTCTGCTTTTCGTCCTGGCTTTTGTTTGCACCAGGGGTTATCGGGGGAACGAATCCCCTGGAGGTGCCCACAGGAAGTTGGAGAAAGAGGGAGGCCGTGGGCCGGAGATGGGGGACTAGGACTCCTGCGTTCTCTTCTGGACTCTACCTCACTGTGTTCATCTCCTCCCCGTCTGTGAAATGGGGCTAATCCGCCCCCTTGGAGAGAAGGGGCCTAGTGAATAAAGGGCAGATAAAAAGCATGCTTTATTACTCTGCCAGACTTGGGGAGGGGAGGAGAGGCTGCCTGCCTTCTGGCAGGTCAAGGGACGGGCAGAGTCCTGCATGAACTCCTAATTCCCATTCCTTTCTGCGGGGAGACGCTGGGCAGCCGTCCAGACGTGTGGTTAGCACTGGCCCTTTGCGTACGTGACAGCCAGAGAAAGCGGCGACCCATACGCAGCTGGCGTGGTGGGTGGGTGTGTCCGGGAGGTACCGCTCAGGCAGGAGTGGCCCGTCAGACAGAAAGGCAGGACGAGTGCCGAGCAAGCTGGGCGCTGTGCCCTGGGATGACGTTGCTGGGCTGACTTGCGGGCGGCTCGTCGCTTTCGCGTCAATTTCAGGAACAGGAAATGCTGCTTTTCCCAGGGAGCCGATGGGGTGGCAAATGGGCAGACGGCTCCGGGCTGGGAGGGGGGTGAGGACGCTGAATTGTAACGTGCGGGGCCCGCGGGTGGGAAGATGGTAGGAGCAGCCCCGTGGGGCTTCCTCCGGTGACAACCGAGAACGCACCACAGCTCTCTGCTTGGCCCGAGAGCCCCGGGGATCCCCCCCTGCGCTGGAAGCCGAGAGCAGCTGAATTTCGTGCCAGAAATGAATCGGGGAGGGGAGGGGGGAGGAGGGCTGGGAGCAAGTGAGGTTTCTCCACAGCCGACCCCCTCGAACACAGCAGGGAAACGTCGCCTCAGTTTCTTGGCCGTAGGACTGTGGCTGCTTCAGGGAGTTTCCGAGTCCTTAATGGGTCTAGTTAGGGGATCTCGGGAGCTCCGGGGAGAAGGGAAGTGGGGACGTGGGCAGCTTTTCCCAGAGCTGCGATCTGTCAGCACCATGCAGGCTGGGAATTCGGGCCGTCATAAGCGCGTGAACGTTCCTCCCAAACACCTTGCGGTTTGGAGGCTTTTGCACCCGATTCTGTCTCCTTGCCGGGGGGCGATTCCTGAGTGGTTTATCTTGTGTTAAGGAGCAATGATCCATCCAACACCTCCCTGCAGTCATAGAGCTGGGGTACAGGGTCCCTGCCTGGTGCATTATCCCGGGGGGGGGGGGTTGTTCCTGGCCCACCCGGGCAGCAGCAGTACCAGGCTGGAGCATGTTAACCCTTGGCTGTCTCGTCTCTTCTCTCTTCAGCAATGGAAACGAACAACCATTTTAACTTCACCGGCCTCCCCTCTGTGCCCACTGCCTCGGGACTGAAGCCTGCACCTTCCTCAGGGGACAGCCTGTATGCCAATGGGTCGCCCATCAACTTCCCCCTGCAAGGGAAATGTAAGTGGGGGGGGGAATGGGGAGGGGTGAGTTGGCCTCTGAACTGGCTTGGCTCCTTTGGCCACCCATCATTCAACCCCCCTCTCTCTCCCCCCCCTCCCCCCCGGCTCCGGTCCACTGGCCTCTCGCATCTCTGAGGCCAGCTAGGGAGCAATGTTCCCTCTCACGATAACATCCACACGTGGAATAAATTTTGTTGCACACACCGAGGCGTGTTGATGTGCACCACCAGTGGAAACGCATGCTGCCAGCTGTGAGCACTCTGCTGGGCATCACCTGAATTTCTCCAGGGCAGCTGTTCAAGCACTCGGCTTACAGGGGACACTGCTGGGGAGCCCCGTTGGCTGCACAGTGGGTCAGTGTCTGTGAGGCAAAGAACCCAGGCGTCCGGGCTCCCAGGCCTGTGGCTCCAGCCCTTCCCTAGAGCCCTGCGCAGGTAGATCCCCACCTGCAGCTAGTAATCGCCGTCCGCACTACAGGGAACCGTAGCGGTGGAAGGAGGAACGTGGGGTCAGCCACTCGGGCGCAGCTGTACCTCCCCAGACAGGAGACGTGGGCAGGGCTGCGGTGCTCCAGCTGGACTGGAGGAGCAGCCAGCACGAGCCGCTGCCTCCTGGAAGCACCAGCCTCACATCTTGCGCCTTCTGCCACGGCGGTTCCCGGGAGAGCCGGGCAGTTCTGGGGGTGGCGTTTGGTTTTTGTAGCTGCGGATTTGGGTCTCCGCAGAGATCGTTGGTATCTGTGCAGTCCCCTCCCAGAGCCTACGGCAGAACCCAGGCGTCCTGGCAGCGGGTGGTTGGCTGGTGTGATCAGGGCTGAGATCCTGGAAGTGGGGGGGTCAGGCAGGCCCCATGGAGGAGCAGGGTGCAGGCTAGGGCAGGGCTGGTCTGGCCAGGCCCTCCTCCAGGCCTTGGTTTTGAAGGCCCCTCCCCCCCCCACAGTGGTGGTCCTTCCCTTGAGCTGGCGGGGGGGCAGAGGAGTTGGAGGGGCCAGAGGCACCCCCCTGCTGGAGTGGACGGAGCCCCCCTGCAGCAGAAAGGAAGCAGGAAGCGCCGTGTGACCTTTCCTGTCCCCATCTGTTGCCAGCCAGTGTGGGGGTTGGCGTTGGGCTCGCTGCGCCCACGGGTGCTCTGGGGAGAGCAGGGCTGGAGGAGCTGAGAGCAGGAACGTGGGGGGGCCTGTCTCCCGGGCTGCCCTGGATCAGGGGACCTGCCTCCGGAGTGGCTCAGTTATCCCAGCTGGACGGCAGATACTGGCTGGGGGGGGGTGCGCGCGCGCGGGGCTCTGCTTGGCGTCGCTTCAGCCTAGAAAGGGCTCGCTTGCCAGAGCGGGTCTTGGCGTGGATTGGGCTGGTCAGCTGATCCCGCCAGCAGCTCCGCCGAGGGCTCGTTAATCCCTGCCGGGCTGCGGCCGGCTGGCTCAGGTGCTGGTGCAGCGGAGCAGGTCCCAGCCTAGCCGGGGCGTTCTCTCCCCTCCTGGGGATGTTTGCCAGGCCCCTGCGTGTGCAGCCGGAGCGGCCCCGCTTCCTCCGAGCTCCCAGCGGCTGTGGCTCGGGGCGGCTGGCCTACCGGTCCGATCTGTGGCAGGTCTCCGAGGCCTGCTGCTCCCGGGATAAAGAGGGCATGGCCCCGGGGGTGCCTGTGGGGGGGGGGGGATAAACCTGCTCTAGGGGAGCAGCCGTCGGGGGGGGGGGGGGGTCTGTCTGCCACCAGCTGCCTCAGTGCCCTCTGTACCAGGAGGCAGCGAGGCTCTTCCGTGGCCAACCCCCCACAGCTGCCTGGTCCCAGCCTTAGCATCCACCCGCCCTTCGTCTCCCGTGTCCCCCTCCCCCTCAAACTGGGGACGGCCGCAGTAACCGATTGCTCTGCCTTCTCTCCCCCCCCTCCCCCCCCAGGTCTGAATGGCGACATGAACGGGACTGGCTTAGCGACTGTATCCCACACTGGTGCTTCAGGGACCTTCGCCTCTGCCGCGCATTCCCCCGACGCCTCCGCCCTGCCCCACCCCTACGACTATCTGTGGAACTACCCGCCGTACCAGCCCGGCAGCCTCAAGGAGAGCTCCGGCCTCGGACAGTATCCGCTCAACGGCCTCCTGGGGAGCACCCGGCCGGTGTCCTTGGGGCACAACACTAACCCGAGGGGGGGCCAGGAGTTCTGGGGCAACGGCACCCCCGGCTCCATGGGGCTGAGTTTCGACTCGCAGGAGCTGTACGACTCCTTCCAGGAGCCGAGCTTCGAGCTCGTGCAAAACGGGGCCAGCGGATTCTATGAGGCCTCCCAGTCCTCCCCCATGCTGGGCTCCGGCGCCCAGTCCTTCTCGCCACCGCCCTGCCCTCAGGACCAGCCGGGCGCCGGCGGAGGAGGGTCCTTGGGAGCAGACGAGGCGCGGCCCGGGGGTGAAGAGACCAGTGCTGGCCTCATGGGCAGCAAGGAGCTGGAGGAGACGCAGCCGGGTAAGTGGCTCGGGGTAAGCGGAGCCGGCGTGTCTGGTGCGGTTGGGCCACAAGGGAACCGTCGCTTCCCGGTTCCGATCCAAACCCCCAGGGCTGGCTTATGCGTGTGGGGGTGTTGAAATTAACACGCACACTCGCCGCCTCGCTTCCCCCTTCCACCTTGAGCTTGGCCACCAGTTGATTCACCCTGCCCCAGGTGCTATTCGGTGCCACTTGCTAATCCCACGGAATTGCCCCCGGGCTTGGGGGGGGGGCAGAGACCGAGCCTGGGACCTGAGGGAGAAGTGGGGAGGGGTGCGCTGGGCAGGGGAGCCCAAGGGGAGGGAAGGAGACAAGTTGGCAAACTTGCCATCCGCTCTCCCAAAACATGGGGGTGCAGGAAGCACAGGAGGGGGGGAGGTTGCCACGTGGTCTGTGGTGGTATCGGAGTGGGGGCGTCGTGCCACGCTGTCCATAATCCGCACCCGGCCGCAGGCCTGGCAGCACCCTCCTTGCCCAGCTGGGCAGGAACCAGGGCTGCTGGCAGGGCCCCGTGCCAGCACCTTGACGGTCTGGAGCTCAGCCGGAGCAGGGCAGGGGGGCGCTGATCCCCGTGCTGGGGGGACCGGCCCGAAAAGTGGCCCGCGAGCGGGTCCCGGGCCCGGCGGGGGAGCCGCTCAGCCAAGAAGCTTCCGTCCTGGCTCCGGACGCTGCTGGCAGCTGCCTGGGCGACGCCTCTGCCATCACCACTCCCCTGGCTAACCCTCCGCTCCTGAGCGAAGAGCCGCTGGAGCCCTTCGAGTCGCTGGCCAGAGGTAGGGCGCTCCCCTTTTGGCGCTGGGGGGGGGACGACGCCAAGAGCCTCTTTGGTGAGGGGTGGGGACTCGCACCGGGACAAAGCCTCCGTTTGCCTGTCCCGTCGCCCCCTCGCGTTGGGGGTCAGGCCGCTGTGAAGTCTGGCCCCATCCTGGTCCCCACAAACTCATCCCACTTCCCCGTTCCAGCGCCAGTCGGCCCCTGCTGCAGCATCAGCTGAGTGACTTGAGCTGTTTGTGCCAGCTGGTTTCCACCAGCTGCCTTTTATACCCCTCTGGCTGGCACCCTCCCACCAGGAGGCGGAGTCACGAAGTCCCTCCCCAAAAGGGTGGGGCTACAGACCCAGCTTCCTTGTTTAAAGGGCCAGTCCTCCTTAGGCGCTGTCGCCTTGTCCCGTCCCACCCCACAGCCATCTTGGGTTTCGGTTCCCAGCCGAGGGGGGCGTGGCTGGAGGCAGGGAAATCCATTAACCCCTGGAGTGCTGGAATGGGTGGAAGTGCCCGGAGTGTGGGTTTAGCGTCCCAAACGGCCCCTCCCCTGTGCCTTCTCCCCCTCCCAGCCGGCGGTGCCAGTCGGGTAGTTTGGCGTGACCCGCACCTAAGGCATCTCGCTCTGATTTCCCCTTGCAGACCCCGGGACTGGAGACCTCTACGAGATGGACGACTCCCAGCTGGTGAACGGCTGGAATGGGTGGAAGTGCCCGGAGTGTGGGTTTAGCGTCCCAAACGGCCCCTCCCCTGTGCCTTCTCCCCCTCCCAGCCGGCGGTGCCAGTCGGGTAGTTTGGCGTGACCCGCACCTAAGGCATCTCGCTCTGATTTCCCCTTGCAGACCCCGGGACTGGAGACCTCTACGAGATGGACGACTCCCAGCTGGTGAACGACAAGTCGTCTCTGGAGGCTGCCCCGGACATCTCGGCCCTCGACTGCTCCGACAGCCCCTCCCTGACCAATCCCAGCCACTTCAGCCTGGTGCCGGAAGA